TAGAGCATGAGGTAAGTTAATAAATCGGTTGAATCGGGCGTTGGATTTTTTGAACAGAATAGTTCGAAAGAACCGATTCAGTAAAATGAATCGAACTTCCTATCGCTACGTACAGCGCTGGTCCCTAACGAGTCTCCTGCTGTGCGACTGGCCTCTCAGAGGGATGAGCTGATGCAGCGTTTTCTGGAGCTGCATCCTTTTACGAGCATTCAGACAGGTGAGCGCTGTTTTCTCTTAATTTCACACTTTTAACACCACGTTTTTAATCAGAAATACTCAGCTGTAGTATTTTGGTAAACTGTGTTTTTCCTTTGTTTTGCTTCAGTAATATTGATACTAAACTTTCTGGCTAACGTTAACTGGTGTACTGGTCAGTTGGTCTAACGTTGTCCCGTTGGTCAGTACCACAGTAGTGTTAGAGTGAAGTGGAATAATGTTGGTTTAAACTGGGTTAATATGAGTTTAAGCAGTAGCCCAGCTCTCTCTGGCACTGGACTAGCTTAGCTTGAATTCTGACCATGTTACCACAAACCGTCTGATACAGACGAGCTGCAGTTAAACAAAGGACTTCTGATAATCGACTGTCTGATGTCGTGTAATAAGAAGTGATTATTGGGCTGATATATATTAGTTTTCTAGGAGGCGTAACGTTATCAGCTACATGTAGATGATCAACATTTTTGGAACGTGTTGTTGCCATCCAATTCAAAATGAGCATATAGCTTTAGATTTGTTGTCTTTGTACTATTTTCAAATACATAAAGGGTTTAAATGATTCGCACATCACTGCATTTTCTCTTCATTTACATTTTGCACAACAACTTTTTTGGAAATGGGGTTGTATTTCTAGGATGCTCATTTTGTTTATAAAACCGATTTTAGGTGGTGATGAGGCGCAAAGCCTACCAAAGAAAGACTGAGCAGCAAAGAAGAAAGGAAACAGATGGTGATGAAGATGCAGAAATGGATGGTAAGTCTTCATCCCTTTAATAACTAGGTCTAAGGCCTTCTTCACACCTGGCATTAACGTGCGCCCTGAGTGATCTGATCATAAGTGGTCAGCACTAAGTACAAGTGTGAAAAGGGTACAGTGTGTCTTGAAGATGCACTGTAATCCGATTGCCCAAACCACATTCGGAGGTGGTCAGAGATGTGCATGACTACATTTGTAGTGTAAACACGAAGGTGTCTTGATGCATCCCTGACTGTAGTGAAGTACCGCCTGTATCATCCACGTCATGGCCTGCTAGAAAATACGCAATAACTGTGAGACTGTTTTCAAATTGCTCTGTCCTGTAAGGTCTTCCTGTACTGTAAGACGCTCCTCATGGCGGGTGCGCTAGCGAAACAAGAAGCTCATCTTCATTTGGGCTGAGGATGCAAAAAGGTGCAAAGAAAACCTCTTATAACCAAGGCTACCAGGGTATTTGGTGAAACGGACACAGCCGAACCTGAATACCAGCTCAAACATCAAACCTCTAATATTTAAAATACTTAGAAGAAATACAGTGAAAGACTGACATAGTGAATGTGCACAGTGCTCTTCCTCCAGTGGAAGTGATGTAAGAAACCCCACCTCAAGGGGCCGTAGGAGAACGTGTTTTGGCAGTATTGTGATCTCATCACCAGAGACACCTTCAGTTATGAACATCTGTAAAATGTATTTGAAAAGCTGTTCTGTAAAAAGAAAACAATGTTTTGTTTTGTTTCACAGAGGAGGAGGATGATTATGTCCCCCCTGCTGTTTGTAAGAAGAAGGCGATAAAGAAGCTGCTGACAGAGCAGCCCAGTGAGTTTTAGCATGTATATTCTAAAGCACTGCCCTGCACTTTTTAGAGCTGGGGTCACCAGTCTTTTTCACAAGAAGCCAGTGTGACTGCAGGTTTTCATTGCTTTTAAGGAGACGCACACCTGAATACATGCGTTCATCATTTGGTCTCATTCTTGTTGCTTGGACGGAAAACATGTTAGGCACACTGGCTCTTCATGGAGAAGACTGGTGATCAGTTTAGGTATTAAGAGTAAAAGAAAGCTGATGGAAGATCGTGGTGAGTTTTAATGTGTATATACTGAAATGGTCTGAATGCCCTCTTAAACATAACGGGCCAGATTAATAAAACGTGGTACACACAAACAGGCTAAGCTGGATAGTAAACCAAGGCAGTCACAATTTGAAAAGTCCTTCATTACTAGATAAATTACACTGTAGTGGCCAAATTAAAGATGAATTTTTTTGGCTCATCAGTTTATAGTTACTCAGATGAGTGGATATGTGAGTATAATTTGTTGCTGACTTGCATGAGTTTATTAGGTTTCACTTTATTAGGCTACTTTATCAGAAACCCCTACCTTACAGCTCCACTATACACAGTCATGTACGTAACATTATGACCACCAAATGTTTCTACAGTCTCTGTCCATTTTAACAGCTCTGTTTTTCACTTTGTAGTTCTACAGTTACAGACTGTAGTCCATCTGTTTCTCTGCATACTTTGTTAGCCCCCTTTTACCCTGTTCTTCAGTGGTCAGTACCCCAATCATTCTTCAATGGTCAGGACAGAGCAGGTACTGTTTGGGTGGTGGGTTATTCTCAGCACTGCAGTGACGCTGACGTGGTGGTGAAGTGTTAGTGTGTCAGCGTCACTGCAGTGCTGAGAATGACCCACCACCCAAATAACAACATGATAAACAGAGCTGATGAAATGGACAGTGAGTGAGTGATACTAGTTCTGATCCCATTACTTTTGGCACATCAGTATATCAGTCACACCATACCCCATTCATCATTGGTCAGTGTCTGACCACAGGACCGCTGTTGTCCAGATATTATTTGTGTGGCGGACTGTTCGCACAGTACAACTGTTACATTTTACCTTCACTTCTCTGCTGCTTTCAGACCGCGTTCAACACAGGAGGCGAGCGTGGAGTGAAGACGAAACAGCTGCCCTACTCAGACGTTTGGGAGTTTTCCTTGAACGTTACGAGGTTCCAGAAAAAGGACTGCATTTCACGTATCGAGAATGAGAATACTTTAAGATCTCCAACATGGAGGGATGTTAAATACTTCATCCACAACAGAACTGTCAGTCTCACCAAAACAACGTCAAATTCATGTTGGTGATGGAACTGTGACATTCATGTTGGTTATCATTGTGACTATCTTGGGCATAATTCATGTTGATTATAAACAATTATGTTTATGCAACAGTCACTCTTAAAATTTGGGAAGTAAAATCTCTTAAAGTTTTCCAAGTCCCATTGCATCATTATTCACTTATTGATCACCAATGGTTACCAGATCAGATAAACTCATGGACCATAGATAGTAAGAGGAAATTCATTCATCTCTTCAGCCAATGACGACTCCAAGACATAAGTTTCTGTTTCTTCTGTTTCTGCAGTTTCATCTGATTTATTCAATCAAATAATGAACTCCTTAACACCCCAGGCTTATTACACACTAGAGCTGATTATTCAGTCACTACAGGGACTTCAGTGCAAACTAACTGAGCTATTCTCTTAGGTTATAGAAGCGTGTATTAAAACTTTGGGCCCTCCAGCGGACCCTGGGGTTAACAAACCAAGTTGAAGTGGCCATGTTAGAGCAAGAAAGTCTTCTAAATGCCAACGTAACCTGAATTATCAGGAAGTGACACATCCAGGCTGCTGAATGTTTGAGAAACCAGTGAAGGATGATGAACATCTTAACTGGTAGAGAGAGTTGAATGTAATGCTCACTTTGGTATTTGCTAACAATGACAATGGTGCTTTTGGGAAACCCAGCCCTGCTGGATAAAACTCTGGTTATGCTGGTGTTTGTCCTGTACTCAGGGGGGAGAAAGGTTTTGTGAGTACAAACGTGCATCTTATATGTAAATAACACTTCAAGTACATGAACAGAATCACGGCCTCGGTAAGCTGCCCCTCGCTTTATTCCTAGCTAATACAAGAGCATGAACAACTGAGTATCTAGCACTAAAAAGGGTTTGACTCGGTACAGTGCGGATATACTAGATGAAAACGACTCGATTGAATCAACAGAGTCGATTCCTTTCTCTGAGACCCACCAGTGACAGAAACCAATGACAATGGAATCGATTCTGTTGATTCAATCGAGTCATCCTCAGGAGTTCATTCCATTCAGCTATTCGCTAGTGATGGAAAGGAGTCGACTCGAAGGGTTCAAGAATCGATTCTTAGATTCAGACCATCAAGTCGTGCGTAAACAGGCTCGTTCTCCTGTTCAGAAATCGCTGAACTACCTGCTTTAATGTACTTTAGCGCTTTGGTTTAGTAAATCGCCACTTTTACAGCTTATTTGTCATCATCTGGTCAGATTTGTTCCGGTGTTGGGTTTATTACGGATTTAATCATCACTCTTCAGACATTGTCCAGCGCTTTAGTCTTCATAAGGTGAGGAAAGTGGGTTTAATGGCTGCCGCTGCGCAGTGTGAGCTTGTTGTGCTTCTTTGCGATGTGCAGGTTTGTGTTGTGGTGGTTGTTTTGTGGTAATTCTGTGCTTTTTGTGGTGATTCCGTGCTGTTTGAGCGGTTCATGCTGCAGCAGCGGGTGTGGTGAATGTTGTGTTGCTGTGTCTCAGCATTTTGTACTCGTTTAGCGGCCGGTTGTCGTTTTCTGAGCGAGTTGTTTCGTGTGGCGTCACTGTTGCTGCACTGATACTGTACTTCTATTGATTCGGGGGTGAATCTCAGTCCATCGCGGGCAAAGCTCGGTGTTTTAACTGACGGAGGTTTCAGCCAGTCAGAAACGGTGGTTCTGTTTGGGGGCGGCGCTCGGGCAGCAGAGTGGACTCCTTACTCGTCCGTAGGGAGCGGTCTAGAACCTGATTGGCTAGAGCCTCCGCTGCTCAGCCACTATTGGTCAGACAGCCTTGTAGGCGGGCTCCTTCTACTCTACAGGCTCTGGCGGTAATGGCGGCTCTAAGCGCTCGCTATGCTAATCGCTAAAGCACAAAAAAGTCCTGCAGAATCCGGGAGGTGTTTAATAATCACTCTTAGCCATGACTTTTATTATTTAATCTGGAAACACAGGACTGTTAAAGTCAGTTCACAAACACAGTCTGATTAAAATAATGTATCTGCAGTAGTTGGAGGCGCTGGGCGTTTAAAAGTAATATTCCATCCAGATGATGTTGTTTGAGCCCAGCGGTCCTCAGTTTAGCGGTACAAAACTTTTTCGGTAATTCTACTATTCACTCAATTTCAAGTGACACCCCGCATGTGGGCGACATCTAGTGGCTCAACACTCAACAGCTCGTCTCTAGATGCAGCAGAAACCATGGTCCTCAGTCTCCCTGGGCTTTTACACTTTGGGGCAACTACAAGTGTGTGTGTGTGTGTGTGTGTGTGAGCTTCACTGAAGCTGCAGTGTTTATCTGTCTGAGATGGAGCAGTTTCCATTCCAGACAGTGCTGGACTGGTCAGGATGATGTCTGTGATGCTTCTGTAGAAGAAGTTGAGGACGGGTGTTTACAGGCTGTCCCTCTTCAGTCTCCTGAGGAAGTAGAGGAGCTGTTTGGTCTTCACTAAGGAGGAGGTGTTCAGGGATCAGCCTCAGCCTCAAACCAGTGTGAGTCTCTCTTTACACGTTGGTGGATGATTCTTCTCCATTAGAGGCTATAAAACATAAAATATTCAGCATTAAAACTCAGAGATTCATAATTAAACAAGAAACTAAATAATTCATTAGTTTTTAATGGTTATTTAATTTGACAAAGGCTCACTCACGGTCACTGGGGTTTACTGACAGGCTGGAAGTCTAAAGGTAAATGTAAGATACAAAATTAGCAGTATGAACAGTTTGTTGTGTGCAGAACTTTAATTACTCATCCACTGTAAATGAACTGCTACACATATGAACTGTGAATGAAAAAGTGATAGAAAGAGCTACAGAAGATCAGCAACACTGAATACATCCTCAATAACACATATATAACATCATAGTGAAAAACACTTAGTCATGTCTGACTCACCAGGTCTCCTCCTCCTCCTCTTTCTCCACCACCTCCACACAAACAATCCAGCAACAATGATAAGGAGAAGTACAAGAACAACCATGACTGCAATTCCAGTATTGAACCGATAATCTCCAGTAATGGTGTCCGCAGATCCTCCACCTGAAAAAGATTAGTGTAAGACTGATCTGCTGACCTTATCAGTGATGTGTTAAAGCAGAAATATTTTGTAAGGTTTATTTTTTCACCTGTGCGATCAGACACCTGCAGCACCACCTTCTTCTCCAGGCTGCTGTGCTGAATGACACAGGTGTACTGATTTCTATTCAGCTCCTCAGCCGAGACAGTCAGAATGCTCCTCTTCTGGAAGGTTCCATCCTGGTTGGGTAGCGTCTCTCTGAGCTCCACGTCCTCATGCAGATCCTCTCCATTCTTCTGCCAGGAGATCATCACTGCTTTGGGGAAGAAACCTGTAGCATGACACACCACTGGAGAAGAAGAGTCCTTCTGGAACAGAGACGCCTCAGGAGGGACTGGAGAGAGAGAGAGAGAGAGAGAGAGAGAGAGAGAGAGAGAGAGAGAGAGAGAGAGACAGAGAGAGAGAGACAGAGACAGAGAGAGAGAGAGAGAGAGAGAGAGAGAGAGAGAGACAGAGACAGAGAGAGAGAGAGAGAGAGAGAGAGAGAGACAGAGAGAGAGAGAGAGAGAGAGACAGAGAGAGAGAGACAGAGACAGAGAGAGAGAGAGAGACAGAGAGAGAGAGAGAGAGAGATACACAGTGTGAAAGAGAGAGAGAGAAAGATACACACACACACACACAGAGAGAGAGAGAGAGAGAGACAGAGAGAGAGACAGACAGACAGAGAGAGAGAGAGCGAGAGAGAGATGGTCAATATCCACTAAATTATTACCTGTATTGCCAGTTTATTACAATAATGTAACAAAGCTGAACACAAACACGTCTCACTGCAGTGACAGTGTTGTTTATTCTGTTCATTATCAGAGTATCTGCTGTATTAATGCTGTATTAGTGCTGTATTAGTGCTGTATTAATGCTGTATTAGTGCTGTATTAGTGCTGTATTAATGCTGTATTAGTGCTGTATTAATGCTGTATTAGTGCTGTATTAATGCTGTATTAGTGCTGTATTAATGCTGTATTAGTGCTGAATCAGTATCAGGTGAGTCAGTGTTGAGGGAAGTTTCTCCTCCATGTTCTGGTGAGTAATCAGTGAGTAAATGATCAGCAGGTTTTCAGTGATGAGGGTGAAACAGTGAGAGTGAACAGTTACAGTAACAGATCAGATCACTGTACCTTTCCTCTCCAGACTGGATCTGCTGTAACCCACATACTTCTGTAACCATGCAGTGCATTCATTCTCCAGGTAGGCTTTAACATGAAGAGCTTCATCTTCACTCTCCCACCTCCTTTTGGTAATAACAGCTTTAGGATGAGCTGCAGTCCAGGTTTCAGTGTTCAGATCCAGACTGATGAAGTCTTCTCCATCATAGCCGTACAGCCAGTGTCCTCTAATAGTGCCATCATCATCCAGCTCACAGCCGTACATCTGCTGCAGTGTGTGAACTCCTGCACACACACACACACACACACACACACACACACACACACACACGCGCAGAGAATAAATCAATGACAGCAAAAACACTCTAGACTTGTTCTAAACACTTCTTTAATCATCAGTAGACTCACCTCCACTCTGGTTGAAGCGCTTCATTAGAGTCTTCACGTCATGTCTGAACCTGTCCTGATGATCCTGACTGGTCTGTGTCTCTTCATTCCAGTAATCTTCACCCTCATTCTTCTCCATCCACTCAGTCTTTGGGATCTTCTTCGTGATGTTACTGTCATAGTAAACAAACTGCTCTCCATCCACCAGACCCACTGAAATGAACTCTGGGAAATGCTGTCCTGGTGTGATTGTGGTATAATGGTACTGCAGAGAGTTTGAGTCTGTAAAGATAAGAACAAGTACTGGGATCGTTGTTCAGTCAGTTTCATTCAACTTTATTCTGTTATGTACTTTACTGGTCCTATAAGGGAATGTTGTCATGTCCTACCAGTAGGTCATGTGGGGCTGCTATTTATTTTCCTTAAATTTTATTGTGTGACACACGAAATGGGACAAAATGTGCAACGAAACACTAACACTGAATGTGTGAATGTAACAAAAATAATTTATTATTATTATTATTATTATTATTATAAACACTGGTTCAGGCTTTTTCCTTGTGTATATAACGTTAACAACTGTAACACAAACAACAAGGCACAGGCCTACCCAATAAAGTGGATAAGAATATGTACCAAGCTGATTTTTTTAAAATAAAAACTTAATTTGTTTTCTAATCCAAATTATCATTGTCATCCATGAAAAAGCAACATTTAGTCAAAATACCAACTGAAAGCTTCGCCTTTTTCCTTTAAAACCTCCATCATTGCTTAGCGATCGTTGCTATAAAGCTTTCAGTTCTATTGCAGTGTGCCAGTGTTTCATATATTTTGCATTTAAGCCCCAGGTGAGGTCAAAAGATGTGTCTGAGTGACCTGTAAAAACAGGGCTTTACATGAGTTACATGTAGGTTTATAAGTGCATTAAGGTAAAGGGACTGACGGGTTTATATGTGCATTAAGGTAAAGAGACTGACGGGTTTATATGTGCATTAAGGTAAAGAGACTGACAGGTTTATATGTGCATTAAGGTAAAGGGACTGACAGGTTTATATGCGCATTAAGGTAAAGGGAGTGACAGGTTTATATGCGCATTAAGGTAAAGGGAGTGACAGGTTTATATGTGCATTAAGGTAAAGAGAGTGACAGGTTTATATGTGCATTAAGGTAAAGAGACTGACAGGTTTATATGTGCATTAAGGTAAAGGGACCGACGGGTTTATATGTGCATTAAGGTAAAGGGACCGACGGGTTTATATGTGCATTAAGGTAAAGGGACCGACGGGTTTATATGTGCATTAAGGTAAAGGGACTGACGGGTTTATATGTGCATTAAGGTAAAGGGACCGACGGGTTTATATGTGCATTAAGGTAAAGGGACTGATGGGTTTATAAGTGCATTAAGGTAAAGGGACTGACGGGTTTATATGTGCATTAAGGTAAAGGGACTGACGGGTTTATATGTGCATTAAGGTAAAGGGACTGACGGGTTTATATGTGCATTAAGGTAAAGGGACCGACGGGTTTATATGTGCATTAAGGTAAAGGGAGTGACCGGTTTATATGTGCATTAAGGTAAAGGGCCTGACGGGTTTATAAGTGCATTAAGGTAAAGGGAGTGACCGGTTTATATGTGCATTAAGGTAAAGGGACCGACGGGTTTATAAGTGCATTAAGGTAAAGGGACCGACGGGTTTATAAGTGCATTAAGGTAAAGGGACCGACGGGTTTATAAGTGCATTAAGGTAAAGGGACTGACGGGTTTATATGTGCATTAGGTAAAGGGAGTGACCGGTTTTATATGTGCATTAAGTAAAGGGACTGACGGGTTTATATGTGCATTAAGGTAAAGGGACTGACGGGTTTATATGTGCATTAAGGTAAAGGGACCGACGGGTTTATATGTGCATTAAGGTAAAAGGACTGACGGGTTTATATGTGCATTAAGGTAAAGGGACTGACCGGTTTATATGTGCATTAAGGTAAAGGGACTGACGGGTTTATATGTGCATTAAGGTAAAGGACTGATGGGTTATAAGTGCATTAAGGTAAAGAGACTGACGGGTTTATATGTGCATTAAGGTAAAGGGACCGACGGGTTTATATGTGCATTAAGGTAAAGGGACCGACGGGTTTATTAGTGCATTAAGGTAAAGGGACCGACGGGTTTATATGTGCATTAAGGTAAAGGGACTGACGGGTTTATAAGTGCATTAAGGTAAAGGGACTGACGGGTTTATATGTGCATTAAGGTAAAGGGACTGACGGGTTTATATGCGCATTAAGGTAAAGGGAGTGACCGGTTTATATGCGCATTAAGGTAAAAAGACTGACGGGTTTATATGCGCATTAAGGTAAAGAGACTGACGGGTTTATATGCGCATTAAGGTAAAGAGACTGACGGGTTTATAAGTGCATTAAGGTAAAGGGACTGACAAGTTTATATGTGCATTAAGGTAAAGGGAGTGGCAGGTTTATATGCGCATTAAGGTAAAGGGACTGACGGGTTTATAAGTGCATTAAGGTAAAGGGACTGACGGGTTTATATGTGCATTAAGGTAAAGGGACTGACGGGTTTATAAGTGCATTAAGGTAAAGGGAGTGGCGGGTTTATAAGTGCATTAAGGTAAAGGGACCGACGGGTTTATATGCGCATTAAGGTAAAGGGACTGACGGGTTTATAAGTGCATTAAGGTAAAGGGACTGACGGGTTTATATGTGCATTAAGGTAAAGGGACTGACGGGTTTATAAGTGCATTAAGGTAAAGGGACTGACGGGTTTATATGTGCATTAAGGTAAAGGGAGTGGCAGGTTTATAAGTGCATTAAGGTAAAGAGACTGACGGGTTTATATGTGCATTAAGGTAAAGGGACTGATGGGTTTATATGTGCATTAAGGTAAAAGGACTGACGGGTTTATAAGCGCATTAAGGTAAAGGGACTGACGGGTTTATATGTGCATTAAGGTAAAGGGACCGACGGGTTTATATGCGCATTAAGGTAAAGGGACTGACGGGTTTATATGTGCATTAAGGTAAAGGGACTGATGGGTTTATATGCGCATTAAGGTAAAGGGAGTGACGGGTTTATAAGTGCATTAAGGTAAAGGGAGTGACGGGTTTATATGTGCATTAAGGTAAAGGGAGTGACGGGTTTATATGTGCATTAAGGTAAAGGGAGTGACGGGTTTATATGTGCATTAAGGTAAAGGGAGTGACGGGTTTATATGCGCATTAAGGTAAAGGGAGTGACCGGTTTATATGCGCATTAAGGTAAAGAGACTGACGGGTTTATAAGTGCATTAAGGTAAAGGGACTGACGGGTTTATATGCGCATTAAGGTAAAGGGACTGACGGGTTTATAAGTGCATTAAGGTAAAGGGACTGACGGGTTTATAAGTGCATTAAGGTAAAGGGACTGACGGGTTTATATGTGCATTAAGGTAAAGGGAGTGACGGGTTTATATGTGCATTAAGGTAAAGGGAGTGACGGGTTTATATGCGCATTAAGGTAAAGGGAGTGACCGGTTTATATGCGCATTAAGGTAAAGAGACTGACGGGTTTATAAGTGCATTAAGGTAAAGGACTGACGGGTTTATATGCGCATTAAGGTAAAGGGACTGACGGGTTTATAAGTGCATTAAGGTAAAGGGAGTGACCGGTTTATATGTGCATTAAGGTAAAGGGACCGACGGGTTTGTATGTGCATTAAGGTAAAGGGACCGACGGGTTTATATGTGCATTAAGGTAAAGGGACCGACGGGTTTGTATGTGCATTAAGGTAAAGGGACCGACAGTATCCTCTGCTTTTGGCTTCAATAATCAGGTGCAGCTTTAACTTTGTATGTTTAACATCTCAACTGTCTGATTTTAACTTTGTTTTGTCAATTCTCTGGACAGAAGTTGTGTCTATGCTGAGTGGACGCATGTTTTCAGTTGAAGGTGCTGCAGTGTTGGCTGCGTTTGTGTGAATCCAGCTTTCTGATTGGTTGCTATTGTTTTGTTTTGGGGGGAACTGTTAGAATATGCAGGGTGATGACTGCGCTGACGTTAGGAAAGGCCTGTAGACTGATGTAATGACATTGCAGGACAGTAGAGGATTTTTTTGTGTGTAACTCCATGTCTGAAAATCTGATCTAGTGTTTAGTATTAACTGTTAAAAAGTCAACATTTTTTCCTCAGTAGAGATTCCATCAACGTCCATCTCAAATTCTTGTAAAGGAAACACATATAATCGTCTTCGAGTGCTCCAGAGGAGTGGACTTTTGTGGATTAAGCCTGCAGTTCTAGTCTAAACCATTATGTACACTCAGTTTGATGGCTGTGTACCTCCAACCGTCATTAAAGAGATATCCTGTTTATAAAACTAAATTAGAAATGATTTTTTAAAAATGTTTTCCTCTTCACTTTACATTCATTCATGAACATTTTTTTATTTCATTTTCAGTAAAAAAAAATGCGTCATATTTCTTATTACTTGAGTGTTTTATAGGATTACTAGTACTTTTACTTAAGTGACTTGTGTACGCCTGCCACCTGCACACCTTTACACCATTACCAGATTCCTCATTGCTCCCAATGACCCCTAATATTGCACAGTGAGTGTATAGTTTGCTACGTGTTCTTATCTAAACACTCTCTTTTGATTAAGTATCACAGCTGGCTGAGGAATAAAAAGTTCCTAAACTTATTAAGTCTTGACTTCGGTGCTCTAAAACATCTTTTTAAAGAGAAAATGTTTTATTCACCATGTAGAACATGATAAATCAGACAAAACTAAACATAATCTTTCCATATTTGCCCTACAGGCTGTTGTAAAATCATCCTTTGAAGATTGACCTACAATCTTAATTTTACTAAAAAAACAGCTATACCATGCTGTCACACAGTACTGCATCCCACTCTGGATTACAAAATATAATCTGATTATTGGCCCCAAAAGATCTTAACCTTAACCTGTGTGTGTGTGCATGTGTGTGTGTGTGTGTGTGTGTTTTCAATGATATTATGATATTATTGGATCAATATGCACGCCAGGTATTCATAAGACAAAACCTGCTTAATTTCCTGATTATTAATTCTTAATTGAGGTGGCTGTAAATTAGTGAGACCAAAAAATATCTCCTTTGTATGAATGACATATTAGACCCTCCACACACAGTGAGAAGGTACTAATTTAACAGAGAGGTGCTAATCTAATGTGGATAATCCATACTCAGCACTAACAATCACTGTAAATAAGGTTATAAACTGAAATAAACTTGATACAAATCCACCAGAGGAAAAACAATCACAGCAATGAGTTCTCTGTGCTTCACCAACCACACAGTCATGTCTATACATTAACATCACACACACATGAGTATCAATCGCGACCTTCTCCTTTATTAAGGTTCATGCATGCAGTTACTGGAATTGTTAGGCTTTTCAAATTCTATATATTTCGAGGACTATATGATGATCCTATCCCACTTTCTGAGGGCTGTTATCTTTAAATAGTATCAGTTTATGTGATGTAACTGTACTGAATGTAATCCAGCAGTGTTACTGACTACCAGGCAGCTTCACTGAAGTGCCTGACTGAACCAAATGCATAATGTATATTTATGGCAGAGCGTTTGGTTGGAAATGTAACAAAAAATGAAAAAAACAAAAACAAATACTATATGTGTAAACAGGTATATGAAACTGTATGTAAACAGGGCATGAATAAGTATATTACAAATATTTCATGGATTACAGATACAGATACAGAAATCCTCTCTTAATACTTCAGCTGAACGATCAGTTTTGACAGAAACTGCACTGTTAAGAATTCAGTGTCAACAGTTCAGAATTAATTTAGGGTCTATAAATAAGTCCAGAAAAGGAATTTTAGGTAGGAACCATAAGTTTATACATTCAACATTCTCACAAGTCAGTCTGGCAGACGGAGTCTCTGTAACTCTGCCATTCTGTGGTCTGTTTAACTTTTGGCTCTGATCAATGAGCTCTTAAGGCACTAGTTGATCATTGAAATTTTAAACTGACACAGGTCCATGTGGTTAATCAGAGTCTGTGTTTTATCCTAGTTATACTTTTTTACTCACCTGCTGATGCCAGAAGAATTATAACAGTCAGATATGAGGCAGACATTCCTGTACGGCTGTACTGTAATCCAGTTTCAGGGCAGGCGACTCTGTCACTTATTTTTTTTTTTAAAAGCTCTTCTTAACTTTTATAGATATTAAGTAATGAAATAGTGAGGATTTGAATTGATGGGGTCTAAATTACATCATAAACTAATTTCATTCATTCATCCAGCTTTTTTTCTCCCGAAATAAAACATTTCAGCTCATTAGAGTCACATTTCTAATATAAGACAAAACCTCAAGATTTTATACTGACCTGCTGGGCCAGTTTATTAGAGTAGCTGTTTCTGTCTGACTAAATAAACTTAAAATAATGGTTCCTACTTAAAACTGACTCTGCAGAGGACAAAATATTTGGCACTTAAACAGCAAGGCTTTTTTAGATAAGAAAAAATTATTTGTCCTAAAACAAAAAATAAATGTTATAAAAAAATACATTAATATAAATAAATGTCATTAAAAAGCCATAAAAAGGCATTAAATTTCACTTCCTGATCATGTAGACACTCTGCTACAGCACTAATTTATATTTTTAAAACCAATTATTAGCATAAACAGCAGAAGTGTTCCACATATCAGTTTGGCTATTTAGACTGCAAACTCTTTGAAGCTCAGTATCTCAGAACAGCTCAGAACGCAGACAGAACCTTATAATCCCGAGGGGAGGAAACGACTTTAACGTCCCCTACAGAGACGTTAGTAACACAGTGGACAGGATGTTATAAAAAACATATACAGCAAGATTTCTTTATCCACACAAAACTTAATATTTAAAGAAATGAAAGAGAAAAGCTCCCATACTAACTTCCCCTGTCTGCCTGTTTACTGACCAATGATTTGTTGTTTAGACCATTAAAAGCTCTTCTGGACTCGGCCCATTTTTCTTTGCAGGGGAGTGTATATATATGAGCATATGAGCATAAGAGATGTGTTTAAAACAATGAAGATTGATCATACAATGAACAGCCCGAAGTATCATTTTCATTCTACTCAGTGCTGCTAATATAAATCTACTGCCACATCTGCCCTTATTGTATCACTCACATTACACCATGGAGTTAAAAAAGAGGGATTTCACCCAACATGACAACCCTGAAAGTCCCCGCTCAGTTATTCGAAACTGAATGTAGATCAGTGTTTGAGCTGCTGATTGACTTATAGTCACATCCGCTCCACCCCCACCACCACACTGGTGCCACCACACAGACAGTAGGTTGTGAAAAGTATATTTAAAAAATAGCCATTAATTAATGGACCATAAAATTATATCATATTTTGTTTGTATGCTCTTGTTGACGTACAGAGTAAACAACATTACTGAGCATCAAACATCACACGGTGTAATTTCAGATGGAGGAAGTTCGCCATGATGACTGACTGTGTATTTTAGCAGATCATTTTATCTGAGATCAGACTCACCTGATAACGCGAGACGAACAGTAGCCACCAGAAACAGCCACCAGACGATCTTCTCCATGTTTATCCAGTGTAGATGTGCATCTTTGTGTGTTTATCATGATATATTCATCGTTTACTCGAGCCCCGGTTCTTCTCTGTACACCGAGAGCTAACGGGTCTGAAGGAGGAAGTGAACAGGGTTGCCACATATATTGATTCTCCTCTTTTGAGGCGTTAACAACATAAAGCAGTAAAGTATAAATGCAACAGTTTCTTTTTGAAATTATGTAATCATGTTATTTTAAAACAAGTAAGTCCCTTTTCATTGTACACAGATATATACAAATGTTTGAACACCCCTGGTTTCAGTGTAAATAAGTGAACACGTCCTCTACAGACAACACACTTAAATATGGCATTTTTCTGCTAATTTTAGATTTCTAAATCTAAACATTTCTACTCTATTTGAGTTTCACTAACTGAAAAATACATAAAATGTAAAATATGCCATAATTTTTGCACATACATTTTGTTTTATTTTTTTCCAATATGATAAATTCAGTAAGTAAACAGAAATTGTGTATGAAAATGTGCAGAAGTGAGAATGTGAAGAAGTGAAACTGATGAAACAGCGAACAGTATGAGTTTATAATTCTACACAGTCCTGTTTATATAAACCTTACACCCTCATCAGTCCTCACTGTATCACTCACACCATTTCCCACAAAGTTAAACGATAAATGACTTCCCTCAATATGGCAACTCTGCAGGTCTCCTACCCTCAGCAGAGCTGCGTCTGTCGTGTCCAAAACCTAAGGCAGCTGCCTCGATACGTTGCTGCCTCGATGCGTTGCTGCCTATGCGGTATCATAAGTCAGTGCCCAAGAATGCAGCGTTGTACACGGAGTCAGTGCTGCTGTTTACTGGTACCTTTCCAACCGCATCAGCTCTGACACAGAGGATTATGGGAAATGTAGTCAGTGAAGGACACATCTACACTGCCTTCAACACACAGCTGAACGGAGGAACCTCAGAGCTGTTACAGAGACTTGAGGACTGTATTCATAACTGCAGTACTGAGTGTGAAAAGGTACGTTATGTTTAATTTGAAGTGAAGTCCGTTACTCTAAATGTTCATCCACTGTGATTAACATGGTAAGAAACTTAGAAACTGTCTCATTACATTACAGCTGTGTGCTAGTAAAGTCATATAGCTAACTAACTAGCTCTGTAATGTGCGTTTTATTTATAAAATAACCAGGCAGTATTGCTGAATATGACTGTATTGTCATATTTCCTTTTGTAATATGACTGTTTGGCTCTACTCTCTTCTAAGTGTACCCAAAATGCAAAATGTTTGAATCTTAAATGCAGTTAGCAAGCAAACTTGTTTTGTAATACTCTCAGAGCAGATTAGGCAAGAGGATAGTGAAGGCAAACCTGGCGGTCCACTGACGTTTTGCTCAGTGAATTCTGGGCGGCCCACCGGTGGTTATATGAAGTATATGAAGACAAAATTCCACTTGTCATAGCTTATTTTCCAATCACAGTGCAGTTAACTTTTTTTCCCTTTCTTTCTTTAGTATACTTTGCATATACTTTGTAATATTAGTTTAGTAAATATTTTTAATCTAGCACAATATCAGCAACAACATTTTTCTATAAAATTATTTTTTAATAGGCCTAGTCTTTATTTTCTGTCACTTGTTTGTAATATTTGTCTTAGTTTATTTTCGAAAATATAAGACTTTGTGCATTTCACAAGCAGCATCAGATATAGTGAAGTGGGCACTACTCTCTAAGTGGTCTCTACTACTCTTGTGAAGTGAGTACAATGGTCACTATTTTTAGAGCGGCATAAAATGTACTGTAATGGTAACTTCTCTAAGAGCAACATACACTGAAATGGTCACTACTCTCAAAGCGGTATTAGATACATTGCAATAGTTGCTGTTCTCAGAGCAGCATTAGATACAGTGAAGTCATCACAACTCTCAGGGCGGTATTGGATGTAGTGAAGTGGTAAATACTTTAGAGCAGCAGCATTAGATACAGTAAAATGGTCACTACTCTCAGAGCAGCATTAGATACAGTAAAATGGTCACTACTCTCGGAGCAGCATTGGATACAGTAAAGTGGACACTACTCTGAGAGCAGCATTAGATACAGTAAACTGGTCACTACTCTCGGAGCAGCATTGGATACAGTGAAATAGGGCTGCAACAAATGACTAATTTGACAGTTGAATAATCGAGCGATTACTGAAACGAATAATCGATTATTTGGATTATGAATCACTACATTACCAAATAACTTTTACGTAGCTATTAGCTTTTAAATGATCTTGAGGTTGTTTTATGCATTTGCTAACTAACAATGAAGACAATGAAGAGGAATACCATTCAAGAATTCACTGTTTTAATAAACTTTCTTGCTAATGCAAAAGATGAAAAAATAAAACTCCAATATATTTTTCCTGTCAAAATTTATAACCAAGGATGTGCAAAGTAGCAGCAATAAAGTACAACAAAACTGAATCAGTTGTCCTTTAATCAAGTAAATAAAATAAATCTAAAGTAAATGTTACATTAACAGTGTTTTGTGCGTTCTGCTGTCTGTCTACACTCAGCTGAAACTACATTCTACAATCACAGGTCTTTACTGAATCGGAGGAGGGTCAGTATCTCTCCGTGCTCCTGTAGGAGTCTCAGATACTCCCCGCTGTAGAGGAGACGCGCTCTGATGCAGCGGATGGGAAAGTGGCGAATGTTTGTGGCGAAATTCTCAATGAACAGTTCAATTTGAACGATTTTGTGTAAAGTTTCATTTCAGCGGTAACCCTCTGTCCAGTTACCCTGTGTGTTTACGGAGAACTGCCTCCTGGAACTGTTAGCGAGTGGAGCTAAACGTCCGCGGAGAACAGACGACTGTTTGAAAACGCCCTCCTGTGTTCGGCGAATCTGACCGCACCGGCGGCCTCGGCTTTAGACGACGGTGCAGTGTTTAAAGGTGTAAACATTATCTGTAAAGTGAACAAGGTTACTGTGAATAATAGTTACATGCTTCTCTGTTTCAACTCCATTAACGATTCCAGAGCTCAGACATTTCGAAATAGAAGATGTTCCAGCTCAGCTCACAACATGAAAACGGACTTTAACATTAGCATTAGCTAACTAGCTTTAGCTCGCTAGCACAACTATCGCCGCGTCCCAAACCACACAGTCCTGCACTTAACACGCTGCACTAATGAGTGCACTTCTAATGGTATACGCGCTGTTTTTACTCACTATCTAGTGCGCTAGTGTGCGGTTTGGGACGCGGCGTATCTCACCGAGACGAATCTTCTTCACCCAGTGAGCGACGAGGTTCCAGTGCTCCATCATGGAGGATGAGCTCCGTGCCGGCTGAGCTCGGCTTTACAAACAGCACAACTGACCACCTTTTTTCTGAGTTTAGCTCCTGCACTTTTTAGGATTTTGTTGTTGAGGCAGCCATCGCGCTGTCGTTAAGTCTCCGGTGAGCGGCAATGTCAAAACGTACCTAGTGAGCGCGAGAAAGACACGTAATGACGTCACCAACTAATCGACTACTAAATTAGTTGCCAACTAATTTGGTTGTCGATTTTAGTCGACTGTAATGATGCGCGGTGAGTCAATGTCGTCTTGGTTTCTCTTTTTATTCAAGTTGTGAACAGACGCCGTTAGCAGAGGCACTAACTTAGCTAATCACTCCAGCTTCACTCTCCGTGTGTTTACTTCCTGACGTCATCTGGCCTATCCAATAAGACTGCACATAATGCGTATGCCTGACAGAAAGCTAGTTTTCACTCAAACCTTAACATTGCATGACATCTCCCCCTTTAAGTTGACCCCCCCCCCCATGCATGCAGCCACACTAACAACACTGAACAAAGAAAAAATACTTCCTATTGCTGCATAGTGTCCATCCCAAAAGGTACACTTTTAATTAACCTTAGAACTGTTTTTCCTAACTATCAGTCTCTGAAGCTATTTTGAATTACCAGCACAATAGACCGTTACAGTTACTTATGGACGCACATAGTCCTTCAGCCAACAGGGTGGTTTGACCTGTCTCCCGGCCAAGGTTGTATCTGGGACAGAAGGCTGTGTCGCAGGTTGCACAGGGGATAATGGTGTTGAAGAAGAGCTTTTCCGTACTTGTGTGCCAGGGGTCACCAGTGGACTTGCAGCAGGCAAAGTCTCTTTGATGTCTCCTGCAGTACGATGTCAGATCCTGGTGCTTTTCGTGGGTTGATTCTGTGTAGAGTTCTCTGCACATCAGCTGTGGACAGACACAGTACCTGTTCATTTGGAGGAGGTGTGGTTTTCCTCGCTGTCGTGCCGTTCTGTGCTTCAAACCGAGCGTAGAGGTTATTTAGCGCATCTGGAAGGGAGGCATCATTGTCACAAGCAGGTGGAGGTGTCTTGTAGTTGGTGATGGCCTGGATGCCCTGCCACGTGTGCCGTGTGTCAGCAGTGTCTTGAAAATGACCATGGATTTTCTTTGAGTAGGCACGCTTAGCCTCTCTGATGGCCCAGGAAAGCTTGGCTCTTGCTATCCTGAGGCTTGCCTTATCCCCTGACTTGAAAACCTTATCGTGGGTTCTCAGCAGGATGCGCACCTCTGCAGTCATCCATGGTTTCTGGTTGGGGTGCGTTTCAATGAGTTTGGAGACAGTAACATCTTCAATGCAGTTGCTGATGTAGCCAGTCACTGATTCTGTATACTCCTCCAGGTTGATGGAGTCACCGGAATTTGCTGCTTTTCTGAGCATCTCCCTATCAGTGTGCTCAAAACAATCCTGAAGAGCAGAGATAGCTCCTGGAGGCCAGGTTCTCACTTGCTTCTGGTCTGGTTTGGCACGTCTGATGAGCGGCAACATTTGTTTATGAAAATTAGACAACTTTAGAGGAATTCAATCAATTTTGAAGTTACATAGTAAAATAAATTTAAAGCCTACTAACTATTGACTATTCACTGAGGATAACCTGCTGAAGGTGAGTACATATCGACTGACATATCCACCCTTTTCTGGACCTCCTAATCCTCTAGTCCTCCAGTCAGCAGTTCTGTGCTGTTCCCTTTGGCGTTTTCAGTCTAAAATGGCGGCAGCGCTACCGCAGCACCATCTAGTGGTGGTTGTCAGAAACGCATCAG